GGTTCACTGCGCTACACCTGTAGTCACTTTTCGCGAGATTCTGCCATGTTGTTCTACGCGTACATGGCTCCGTTTAGCTGGTTAAAATATTTCATGTATCTTTGCATTTTCATGTCTACGAAGTATACAATTTGCCAGTCACAATCGGTAAATGCAAACATACTAGGATAAACATGTCTATTCTAGCTCACTGCGTCCCTAAATCCCCATTGTGAGCCTTGTGATCCTCGTCGCGTGTCTATATTTTCAGTTGTATACAGGGATAACTCTTCCTCTGTACACTTTATTATCTCTTCTCCTAAAGAAAAAGGGACTCCATCCGTTTTTTTAACGGAAAGCACTGCTGGTTCTGATGTACACTTCGACTGGGCTGCAATTTTAGAAAATACAACAACTAAACAGGCTGTATTTCTTGACAACAGTTCGTTTAGTGGTGTTTTGTTTACTTTTGTGAGTTTTTATGTTTTAGTGCATTGATCATAGTATTGGGACAACTGAAATAAGCATCATGAATTCATATTCCCATTTTTTGTATTTTAGCTCTACCAGTATAATGACATCCACGATAACGCTGACATTTCGAAAGTCAAGAATGCTGTTGACCGAATACCGCTAAGTGATTGCTTTTGGTACATACACAAGTGGGACCCTGAACCCCACCCAGAAACAGGCTTGTTGTCCATTTGTCTTCGTTGCAACGACTCACTACCCTCAAGTTTTCTTGACAATAAAGGCTTCGTAGAACTGAAGGTTTGTATTAACTCGTGTTTACTTAAAATTAACTTTCCTTTTGAAAAAACGTGGATTTAATACAAATGATATTGATTTGGAGTTTCGGTGTTTAAAGTCGTTTTAACTAAGCTAATGGAGTAACGTCTTTGAAGTCCAAGATAGATGTAACTTCTACCTTGGTACCAGTGTGCCCCAGCTTTTCCGCTTTACATATTACTGGTAGCATCTCGTCGCACTTCCTTACCCGTGCAGTTTTATTTTGCATGTGACAAAGAGGAGCCAATTTATTATCTGCACATGTCAGTACATTTGAAAGTTGAACAGTGTAAATGCGTGGTCTGTTTGTTACTTGGAGTGACTTCAGTATCATTTCTCTCTTTGAGTGAGAGATTTCTGCCAAGCTACCGCTGTAAACGAGTCTATCGTTTTACCATCTTTAGCTGAATACCAAATTTTGGCTACGAATCAGACACATCACCTTGGGCCCCTAGTTACCATTGTTACATCGCAACGTCTGACTCATAATCTATTTTACACATCTTGTAGACGACCGATTCTGTGATGTTCAGTGTATTTTTGCCTTATAATATCATTTTTAGTTTACTCTATCGAAGGCAGACCGTTACGCGGACCAGGCTCCTCATATGTTTATAGTTAGTGGACTGGCTGTTCAGATTAAGGTCACGTTAAGCCGACTTGAGAAAAAGTGGACAAACGCTCGCTGGGCCCTCGGCATTGCGCTGGCGGCAAATTACAGTCTCCCTGTGGATGAACCTTTCAGGAACTCAACAGAAATTAACATCAGTGATGAAAGCGCTCCAGGGACTTTTGAAGTATGTACCCCTTGGGTTTTCCATGTGTTGTGTTACGATTTAATTACGGTTCTAGCATGAAGTACTGTCTTCTCTTTCTCTTAACTCAGTTCTAGCACACTTCGCCATTCGCATTACTATTCGACAAACACGGCTAGCCTTCTGATTAGTGTTTTTCCACTTCTTGGTCCCAAATTCGTAAGTAGGTGAAATATTTAACCATTCAACCCGGTCTTTTTTCGTATGCAAAAAACTAGCCTTCGCATTAAAGAATGAAATGTAAATCATGTATGCGAAGTTTGTTGTACATAGGTATAGTCTGTAAATCAGTGATCCATTACATTCACTGCCCATTTAAGTAGGACCTACACAGTGCTAACATTTGCATCCATGTTTATTTACTTTCCATCGCTATTTCCGACCACGAATAACTTACGTCGCGTAACATGAGCGGGTAATCGCAGTATAAACGTCACTAATGTCAAACGACAGGATCTATAAAGTGTGTAGCAAAGTAAAACCTTTCTATTTTTTGTTTTTGTGGTGCTTAGGGTCTTTTAATGACCTTAGGGTCTTTTGATGACCCACTCCTCTTTGAACCCCAGTTAATGTCCATTCTTTTGAGTGCCCTTGAACTGGGGGAATCACGTTCAACAGTACTAACCAGTTGTTAATGTAAATTTACTTACTTAAAGTAGGACTGGCCTTGTGACAAGGTTTTTTTTGCATATGCTCCATGTTGCATCTCGTACATTACCTGTGGTACAGTGCCCGAAATTGCGGACTTGGAAATCACAGTTTGGTTTGAGCCCGCCACTTCTCGGTACAAAGTTTTGAATGGCGCCGGATTTAGTCTCACCATTTTACCGACCAACTAAGCAGATTCCGACTAGGGCCGACACCAATGTGGTTATTGCTTGTAGCAACAACTACTGCTAGTCCTACACTGGTCATTAGGGTGTCTATTGATCGCTTCATTTTTTACTTTGAACTGGATCGAAATTTACTTAACTGGCCTATTCAATTTCATTCCTCCTTGATTTTCTTCCAGAACATACGGTGCCAACTTTCACAGGTTTTTTTCAAAAAAAAATACAACCAAAGAGCGCTTCTTTTAAAGCCACAGTAATACCTCATTTCATCGACATTAGGGGTAACCAGACCGAAAGAACTGTTCACCTCTGCATAGGAACATATCACATTTGGTCTAAGAAGTGCCTCGCCTGTGTCTGTACGAATCTAGCAAGATAAGACCTGCTTTCTGCACTTCTTGTCAGTTAATATCGACGACGTGCACCTACATGCTGACAGTTTCAATCAGGCGTGGGTTATTTGAACCGGAACAGTGGCTGCAAAATTACCAAGCCTTCTGTCAATTTACCGTCATTGTTTACAACGCTGGCTGATTTCGGTCTATTTTTTTGCAGTCGCAACTGCGTTACTAACGCAACATGCGTGTGAGCACTCGCTTGCCTAAATGCTGGTTTTCAAATTGGGCTTTAATCTATTCCACCACTCTTGCTGCTGGCTGCCTATTTGCACTTTGTGTACCATAAAGACTCGTCAGTTGTTCCGAAGTGCTAGTGGTGTGTGTGTGTGTGTATGTCGACATCGGCCTCATGCAATCTAGTGTTGAATAAAATGTTGCCACCGTGGCCGCCTAATTTGACGTAACACTAATGATTGTTTTTTCTGCTTTTACCATCAATTATGCACACATTTGTACAAAAATTTAGTAGTGAACTTGGGAGTTATAATAATAATCGTCGGTGGTAAAGTCCAACCACTTTCCCGTTTGGTGGGACAGTCTCCTCTTTCAAAAGGCCATATTTCGAAATTTGTGTGTTTCGTCTTAACGCACATGCACCGCTTAAAATAAGTGAATACCCCAGAGCTCCGTGAATTTACGATTCGGGAATTTTTTTAAATTTCGGGTTAACATTTTTAGGGTAAAGTGACGTTGTTTTGAAACATCCTTGCAGTCCTGCTGGGCTATAACGCTCATTCCACTAGTGTCCCCTCTCATTGACTCTTCTGTGACCTAAACCACGTACTTTAATACCCCTATCGGCTCCTCCTTGACACTTTTGAACAGTGTTTTAGTAAGTTAAGGTGTTATCGATTAGGTCGCCTTGTTTACTCCCAAATTGTGCTCCCTTCTCTACCTCTTTCTAGCCTGCATAACCTTAAGGTAACAATGAGCTCCCATTTTCTCCTGTAGGATGTAGTAATATTTCTGAGTAATCGGTCTCAAACAGGTCGCCGACAATCCTATGTGACCTGGAAGTCTGTTTGCTACGTTGACAAGACCACAACGGATTTGAAAAACAGTCGAGCATTGACTGTGTCCTCTCAGGGCGGTCTGGAAGACCAACTGACAAAAGCTCTTTCAAAATCCCTGTTACCAATGCTAATTGGCGACGTTTCGACTAATACTACCACTATTCGGCAGTTGAATTTGAGTTTTGGAGAACCTGGGGACGGCTTTTATGCAGCATCGAAGTACATTCACTGGTACGTTTGTGATACGATAAAACTGCGCAATTTGGAGTAAATGAAATCAGGGATCGTCCGCGAAAAATCGGGCGTCATTTCGGCTTTAATTTTAGGAAGCTTGAATGGATCGGATGGTGTGCTTGGCCTTGTTGCAATCCAAACCGCAGGTTCCACTGTAGCTTGCAGTTCGGAATGCAGAAGTACCTAAACTACATTCGTTCGGTATAACCAATAGCGCTTTGTCAGGGATTTTTGCCACTGCCTCGGGCTCACATTTCTGCCGAGCCTAATTGTGTAACTGTTTCCAGGTGTGGTTGCATTTATCAATTTGATGTTTGCGTCCCAGACTTTAAAAGGATACTGACAAAAGCCAGTTTTGGTTCGTGAACGATATCCATTAGCGCATTAGTGTGTGTGAATGTCTTTAGGTAAGCCTCACAGGCCCGATCGTCATCAAAAGCAAACCGGTTATCGGAAGGGCCACTGCATGACTATGTTTTGCGATAGGGACGTACTTTTGCAAGCCACTGAAAAGGTTTCCATCTGTTAATCAAATTAGGATGCCGTGCTCAGGTTTCGACTATTTGGGCTTTTTTATATCTCCCCAGGACGTTTATGTCTGCGGTGGATTCCCCTCCTCGTGAACACTACTCGGCGTTCGTTTGGTCAATGATTATTATAACCAGTGTTTTTCTCGTTGCGGCGTCTGTCGGCTTCCTTTACCTGCTGGGCTACCTCGTGGTTTCGTGGAGGCGACGCTTGAATGGCTATCGCGTGTCCCTACTCGATGAAGCCGAAGCTTAATCTCATCATGTAATCTCTAGACAAACGAGCAGTATAAAATTCTTTTTTTTTAAGGGAATTTTATTAAAATTTATTGCATTTTAAGCCTCTGTTCTAAATGGGAGGTTCATTTCGTCTGCCATCTCAGTTGAGGAAGCGACTGTCAGTCGCAGTTTGCAGCCTTCTCGCCTTGGTCTTTCAGCAAATATAGACCGTGCTGTCGTCTTCCTGATTCCACTGGTCTGTTGTTATCTCTTGGGTGTGCATTATTCAGCTTAAGGAAATGTTGTGTGGCAAGAAAAGACAATTTTTTACGTATTTGCTTGTGTTGGTTTTGCTTCTAGGTTGACGCGCTTTTTGACGGTGGTCAGTGAAATCCTACAGGTGTTCCCAGTGGAGCTTTCCATGCTCCGCATGCTCATACCGACGTGGAACCGGGATTTATGTGACTTCGCGTTTTCGTCAGCATTAGTTTAGGGAACGCGGTAGAATCTCTGTATTTCAAATCGCCGGATCGGCAATGAGAGGTTTAGGAGGGACACAGTAGACTTCTAGCACCATTAAAAGGGTGTGGTAGTTTAAGCAGCTTTGTGGTGCTTAAGCGAAATTCGGGGACTTATTGGATGTCGCCTGCCATCATTCGTGATCCTCGTCATCTAAATCGGCCTGATGCCGTGCTCCCCGTTCCCCTGATGTGTCACGTGACTCAATGGACACGAGCCCCTACCCTGATCGCGAATAAGCGCAATGCGGGAAAATAAAATTCATGTGATCACTCTATTTCCGAACCACATATAAATACCGCATTTTGGGCCAGAGTGGTAACTCCAAGTGATTTGTGTGTGGTTGACACTTGGGGGCCAAATAAGGTGGCTGAGCCGTTGTGGGTGCATTTTTTGTGCACTCTAATGAATACTCGTTTAGCCACTAAATATTCGCAATCCTAATAAGCAATGAGGTCTGTGAGTAGGAAGTCGACAGCAGTGCTGCTTTCATACACCTCCATTATGACGACGTTATGTCTAAATTAACGTTTAAGCGTTTAGTCAGTCTGACAACTCAGCTAAGTATGCGAACAAACATGGAGAGGCGGCCGTGATTGATGGCCTTTCAGGCCATTGGGCAAACGAGTAAACACACCTAGCATAGGAATTTATCAAATTGTGTTGATTGGCATCCACTAATGCGGTCGTCACGCGCTAAGTCCTGCCGTCCTCCCCTTTTCACGGCATCCTTATCGATCCCGCGGAACCGCCTGTTCACAAGTCTCCGTGCTTTTACCTCCCCCGAGCACGCGCTTCACTAATCCACACATTCCGCCATTCGTACTTTTACAGGTGAGGCCAGGCTGTATTAATAAGTAAACTCCATTACCTAGACACGACTTTGATGCGTCGTGGCGCGACCACCCAAATAAGCTGAGCTCCCCATTGCACGGTTGTTTCCGCCATCTCTGGTTTACTTGATTTTCGCGGATTTCTGTGTAATGGGATCGATGCGACTTGGTAGCCCTCATGTAGCTCTAGACCCTCATGCCATTGACGACGAGGGCAGAATCGAGACCTAATGGACATATCTGATTAGACTTTAGTAGTTAAATAAAATGATTTTAAGGAGCTGACATTATTTGTACGATCGCCTGCTCCACGGTGCATCAAGCACTCCTGACACACTTGGAGGCGTTTATTAGGCTCAGCCAAACTCTCGAAGACGATGTCACTAACCTCACACATGTGTAGGTATAGGATTATTTGCTATACTTTACTCAAGTACTTGGTATGTGGTGATACGGGTTGATTCACACTCGATAATCCGGTCACTTCAGCCTCCGACACAGGGACCGCTTTTCGCAGCATGCCATCAGCCGCGCGGACACTAAACTTCCACCTCATTAACGCAAGCGTTTATTCTGGATTATCCTCACACCTAGGTCCCGATGTTAGCACATATATAACTCATGCATCTAAACCATGAATACACACACGCAAACCTCAAACACGACACAACGACACCAACGTGGTCGAGCTCTGAAGTAAGCGGTTGTGTCCACGTCCTCTCCGGTATTTCACTTCTTTGCGGGTAGCAGGAAAGCGTAATCGGGCCAGGGTTGATTCACGGGCCCCGGCGTGGGTGAAGACCACATGCTGGGGCCCAAAACAGGTATTTTAGAGTATTTCGATCTGCACAACATGAGCTGTACTTGTCGGTCATTTGTCCTGGACATTGTGACGTCTAAACTCAACGCGTCCACTTGGTGCTAACTTTCCTTGTCTTCATTCTTTTGCTAGTCTTACATTTTTGTTTTTATATCGGTTTCTTTATAAAGGCCCCAGCACGGTGAACGAACCACACCGGGGCCACCGTGAGGTCTTGGTCCAATTAAACTTCGTAGATAAGAAATGAGATGAGATGATGGATATGTTGCAGTGGATCGTCAGCGAACACAAATGTGTGAAGCATGTTAGCAAGTAGATTGATGCCAATGACTCACCCCGTTCATTGATTGCTGTCAAGAATGAATAAATTTGCTCACGCTGATTCACTTGACTGGCCTGCCGCTAGTAAAATAGTCGTATCCCTTGTCTCTATTAATGAGTCGCTACGGCTTGTTAATTAGCAAATCGCAAGGTAGCACGAAAAAACACTACACAGCAATTTATTAGATTGCTCAACTCTAGTGTGTTTGTGCATGGCCAATTGAGTTTGTCAAACAATTCAGTCTAGACAAACTAGCAGACGTACATGTGACTACGTGGGCTGATGAGCGTCCCCGACAGTTGTAGACAGAGCGCGTCAAAATGCACCCAGACGTACCCTCACTAGCGATGGCAATGCTGTGAGAAGGTGGTGGGTGTGTTGGTGAACGTGGGTCGTCACGATTCAATAAACCCCTAACCGAGCAGCTTGCTTGTTTTAAGTTTGTGCCCATCGCCTGACCACGTGTAATTTGGACATATTTAGACAAGTATGTGTTGGGGATCCACGATTCCCCAAGATTGGTTTCTGATTTTATTTACATTAATTTATTAACATTTATTTTGTTACGCTTTTACCAAGTCAAGGTCAACCTTGACTTGAATTAGTTTCGATATCACTTCTTCTCTGCACGTGGCTCACGTGAATAAAGCTCTCTACTCGAGGTCTGGTCTTGTTCTGGTATTAGCCTGGGAAGGTCGGTTCTAGCTTTCAGCAAGGGATCTGGTACCGTTATTTGAGTGGTCTTCTCTATTGTTACGGGCGAACGTAACAGTATTACAACGAACACCTTTGGTTATTTTGCCTCATCCGTTGTAAAATGTGGGGTAGATTTCGAACGTGATTGTGTGCAGACGATGAGAACAGCATGTCAGGATGATGCAAGAAGTAACTGTCAATTGTGCTTTGTTTTTGTTGTGAAGCTCGAGGTCAGTTGCGTCAAAATCACCAAAAGCTGTTTGGAACACAGTTTACACTACATGAGCACGTGTTATTCCACAGCCGCATACACGAGGCGTGACGTTCTGAGTTAACGGAGTGGACAGATTCGAAGTGATGCTCGGTGATCGTGTGAGATCAGCGCAACAGGGGGACAAACACGCACAACGTAGCACGTGGTACAGTGGTAGAAGACGTGTCCATGAGGTCCGTAGGCCAAAGTTGAAACACAAAACTCACGAAACTACGTAAAATCATGTTGCATTACTTAACCTGGTCTCTATGGTGTAGTGATGCGAAATCGTACCGGTTTTTCTTTGTAAATTCGTGTCTGTCAAGCCTTATTTTCAACAGGCCGCTTGAACTTTACCCAAAATCACACAAACGTGATAACTAAAGCATTTTTCGTACTGGTACAAGGAGCGGGTCAAAATTGATATCGAATTGATATCCAATACACTTGTTTGCATTGGCTCTGTAAGCATTTTTATTGTGGTGAGCTGACATTTCAAAACTGAACTGAGGGTTAGACAAGTGAATAAACCTGTTCCAGCTGACTACCCACATCTGCTAAAGACGCTGTTGACTTCACATATTTACAATCACCAGCGGCTTGTGACCCGACAAATTCTTGTATCCAATGATGCTTTATTGCTCGGCAGTATCGTGTATTGACATTCAAAACTTCACTCACGTAGAGGAGTATTAATTCATTTTTCTGATGTCTGGTGAATATGCTCCATGTGACCTCTGGTTAAATTCTGTAGCAGATTAACAGCGAACGCGACTGAGTGAACCCTGGTTACCGACCTGACGATGACAATGACTCATCACCTTTTATTGGTCAGTGTATCAAAAGCCTGTCATCCGTTCACTCATCCACACACTAAGACACACTCTTGGCTGGCGTGACGCTGTCGCCTCTCTTCTCTCCATTCTCGGGTTGTTAACTAGGAGGCTGTAGGGTAGTGCTTAGACCACAAGCCACTACATTTGGTGACCCCGGTGTGATCCCAACGTGATGAAACCACTTTCTTTTTGACTCCGTTGATTGGCGATCTCCGTCCAATTTTTCACAACTCTCTTCTCTGTTAACAATGAGTGACCCTATTGCTGTACACCTATGTTCAGAAAACAGCATTTCAGTCAACTTTCGCACGTGCAGTCCCGATTGCCGCGTTTGGTTTATGCGACCTGAGGCCCATTTTCTCAACCAGACGGCTACCTCCCAGTTCTCAAAATATTTGTCTGTTGTTGCATGGCTACCGAGAGATGTTGCTACACGAGTTGACGACTTGCTTGGAATATTGCCTTCTCAAAACCTCTAAGAATATTTGAATGATGCTGCTCTCACACGATTGATCAGCTTCAACGAGGCCCGTCGTCGATACCCACTTTCTGGTATCGAACTAGTCGACAGGTCTCCTTCTCAACTCCTTCGTCATATGCGCTGCTTTCTTAGGGATATCAAGGTTAATGATTCCGTTCTACGCCAAATGTGGAGTGAAACTTTCTTGGCATACATGAACACAATCACTTCGTTCCAAAGCTCAAGCGTACATTTGGATAAGCTTACGGAAATGGCCAATAGCATCCACGAGTGTCTCACACACGGAGTGGAAAATCGAACCATCTCCCTTGGTATAGCAGCTAACATGTAGCCACCCACCCACCAAGATTGAATGAACTATCATCTAGACAGCCTTAACAACGACAGCG